GTGGGGAGGCCGTGATGGGGCTCAGAGTGGGGAGGCCCTGATGGTGGGGGGCTCAGAGTGGGGAGGCCGTGATGGGGCTCAGAGTGGGGAGGCCGTGATGGGGCTTAGAGTGGGGAGGCTCGCTGGGAGGTCGGACTTGGGGCAGTGTCTGTGGAAGGGTCTGATGGAGGTGCTGAGGACCGGGCAAGGGGCAGCCTCTGTGTGGGAGCGTCCGGCATGGCAAATGCAGGCTGGCCCGGAGGTCTGCAGGGCTGGTCCCACTGCGTCTGATCCTCTGAACCCCACCTGTGGGCTGTGGCCGCACTTACAGCTGGACTAGCAGCCCTGGGACAGCCGCGGCCCCGAGGAAACAGCTGGTCTGTGGGACCCCCATGTCCCGGGCAGTTCTGGGGGCCCGGTGCCCGGCGGCCAGGCTCTCAGGGCCCGCGGGGTCCCCAGCCCATGGAGGGAGGGCAGGGTGTGGCCCATGTGTGGTCAGTGCCCTCGGGGTCTCCGTGCAGCCGGGAGGCTCTGTGACGCAGACAGTGGCTGCTTCTGCAGTGACGAGGAAGTGAGGCCCACGTCTGTGCCCTGATGGCCTCCCAGGCCGGAAGTGACAGGCCCTGAGCCGCCGCTCTCAGGGCCCGCGGGGTCCCCAGCCCATGGAGGGAGGGCAGGGTGTGGCCCATGTGTGGTCAGTGCCCTCGGGGTCTCCGTGCAGCCGGGAGGCTCTGTGACGCAGACAGTGGCTGCTTCTGCAGTGACGAGGAAGTGAGGCCCACGTCTGTGCCCTGATGGCCTCCCAGGCCGGAAGTGACAGGCCCTGAGCCGCCCTCCCCGTCCTGGGGGCCTGGCTGCTTCTCCAAACTGCGAGAACACCCAGCCCTGGTGGTGTGGAGCAAAGCTGCGGGGCGTCCTGGACTGCGGGGCGTCCTGGGCTGCAGGGAGCCATGTTGTGCCCTGGGCTGTGGGGTGCCCCGGGCTGTGGGGCATCCTGGGCTGTGGGGCGTCCTGGGCTGTGGGGCATCCTGGGCTGCGGGGAGCCATGGGGTGCCCTGGGCTTCGGGGCGTCCTGGGCTGTGGGGTGCCCCGGGTTGTGGGGCATCCTGGGCTGTGGGGCGTCATGGGGTTCCCTGAGCTGCGGGGTGTCCTGGGCTGTAGGGCGCTGTGGGTTGCTGGCCTGGATGAGGCCGAGGCCAGCCGGGCGTATCCACATGGAGCCTTGCACTGGGGCCAGGACCCTGTGCCGGTGGGCCGCATCCTGGAGCTTGGCTTCCCGTACTTGGAGGAAGGCACTCAGAGGATTTGGACGAGGGTGACAGAGCAGGGCCCCGTGTGTGACCTTGAACTCTGCGAAGTCCGCGTGCCGCGCCCAAAGAACCAAGGGCAGGCTGCAGACGCGGTCAGGTCGGTAACGCCTCACAGCACAGCGGCTCACTGGAGCCCACCTGAGTGCACATCCGGGCACACGCGGCAGGGCCTCACGCAGCTGTTAGGGCGGTGGGTGTGGAAGGGTTGGTGGGTACCCATGTTCCCTTGCCCTCACAGGCCAGGGGCCACTGTGGGGTGTGCACCCCTGCGGTGTAGTGAGGGACTGGACCTGGACTTTCAGGCAGGCCTCTTAGTGGGTAGCGGGGGCATGATTGCATGGCCCCCACCCCTGGGGACCTCCCACCAGCTCCCCACCTCTGAGATCCCGCCAGTCCAGAGGGGAGCCGGCTCTGGGAGACCCTGGGCTGGTGGGGCCACACAGTGTCTGGGCCAGGAGGAAGGGGGTCCCCGTGGTTGTTTCTGGTGGGTTCTGAGGGTCCTTGGAGCTGGTCCGAATGGCACGGGCATCCTTCAGGTCGGGGCAGGAGCCAAACCCACCCAGAGGGGATTCCTGACAGCTCTGCAGGCCAAACCATGGAGTGCTGAGGAGTGAGCAGTGAGCTCTGGCTGAAGCCTGGGCCAGCCTCCCTGCGGCCGGTGGTCTTCTACTGAGAGGTGAGCCCCTTGCAGCCCCAAGCTGTGTCCTAAGTGATGACGACAGGGTTTGGGGTACCTGTCCCCCTGCCTGTGAGGGGCCTTCTGTGCCCTTGAGAGAGCAGTGAGTACCGGGTGGGCTGTGTCCTCCCAGCAAGGCCTGCAGGAAGCCCCGGGGCTCCTAGAGAGACTCCCCTGCCACCCCCTTCCCCTCAGGCCGTTCCTGGAGCCAGCAGTGCTGAGGGGTGCTTGTGACCCGGGCTCTGGGTGTCTGCTGGGCACGCCTTCATACTGGACCCCTCACGGTGTGTGTGCACCACGAGAACATCCCTCACCATGGGGACACTGAGGTTTGGCCAGTGGGAAGGGCAGCTGGGTCCAGAGTCCAGTCTCTGCCACTCACCACAGCGTGGGCGTCAGAGCCGACCCTAGGCGAGGCTGCATAGTGAGGGCCCCAGGGGCTGGCCCCCTGCACGGGCTCAGGTTACTGGCAGCTCTGTGTCCCCCAGCTCAAGGGGTGGACGTTTGGTTCCCTCATGTGGACCTGGGATGGGCCTCAGGCATCCAGGGCACTGGCAGGTGGGCGGTGCTGAGCAGAACAGAAGCTCTGCAGCGTTCCTGGCTGCACCTCCTGGACCGGGCCTCTGTTTTGAGGCTTGGTCCGGTGGGTATCTGCCGGCCCAGAGCTAGGAGCAGGTGTGGGGTCCCACAAGCAGGTGGGGCCTGGGTTGGGGTCCTTAGGGGCGGTGGAGCCACCTATGCCGTCTCCCTGAGGGCATAGCTACATGCCCCATGGGGCAGGGCTGTGGCCTTGGGCTCCTGGTCCAGGATGCAGGTGTGGGCTCCAGGGCAGGGCTGGCTCTCTGGGGCGGAGGGGACATTGGGCTCCTCCCTCTCTACCCTACAGCGGGCGGTCTCGGGAAAGGAGGGCCGGAGACCGGAGGGGCCTGTGTGCAGGCTGGCTGTGTGACACGGCCTCTCCGCAGGCTCTGCTCCTGTGCACCAGGACGACAGTCAGACTCCACGGTGACCTGGAGCTCTCTGCGCTCTGTGGGGTCATTTGGGGAAGGGCAGTTTTGGTCTGTGACGTGGGGCAGCAGGTGTACTCCTCCCCCACAGCCTGGCGTCAGGGGCGGGGTGGGGGTCCGGCTGGCGTGCCCCTCCGCTACCCA